ATAAAGCTTCCCAGTCTTGCTGCTAACTGTACTTATCATCTGACAGTTTATCTTTATGTGAAGGCTGAATTGAAAAAGGCATTAAACATTTCAGCCTTCTCTTCATTGTCCATTATAAGCTTTCCTTCCCCACTCTTCCCCCCGCTTCCCCTTTCCCCCCACTCCCAAATTATATTTGTTGTGCAAATGTAATATTTCCTGGCCCAGCTGATTATAGTCACATTTGTGATAAAAACAGAGACATAAAGGTAATGGCATTGTTTTTCTCTGTAATAACATTGTGCTTCTTAAGTGTTTCCAAAGGAGGTTTTCCCAATTGCATTCGCCACTCATTCTCTACCAGTTTAAAATGAATAAAACATGCATTACAGGCAGCCCCCATCTGTGTGTTTGGATGTCAGGTTTGCTGCAGCCAGGCAAGGAGACTTCCCTGGCGTCCCCTGCCTGCCCGGGTCCGTAAGATGCAGGTGTATCCATGTAGAGCTTCGTGGTTTTATTAGATCTCTACTGGCATTACAGATATAGCCCTCTTGAGTGTATATTGCCAGTTTATAGCAGCAGGACTTCGGCTGCTGTGGGTCCCCTGCTTTCATTGGCGAAACGTAGGGTGCACACGCACCCCCGGCGATTGGCCGTGCCCCCCTGGAAGCGCCAGCCACGAAACCCGTGGTGCCGGTGGAATTGCACTTGCGGTTTCGCCCCTAGCTCAGCGACCCGCCACTGGGGGACCTCCCCCGGTCGGCCCCGTCGGCAGTCTGGTGCCCCCCAGGCTCGGGAGGCACCAGTCGCCCATGCCTCCTTTACCTGCGGCAGGTTAGGGTGTCAGGTCTGTGTTGTCGGGGCCGATGGTCATCTTTCATGGTGTCGTACACATGGAGGTGTCTGCCCATTCCCCTCCAGCTGACAGTGCAAGCGTCAGAGCAGCTTTAACACTCGCCTGCAGGCCCCGGTCAGGCTGACTTCAGAGTTGGCTTGTATTTTTGGACAGCCCCGACTCCCTTCCCTTCTGCCTGCTCTCCTCCTCCCCCGGCCAGCCTGGAGAGAGAAGGAAATTAGATCTTTAATAGAGCGGAGTGAGTAGAAACGACGCAGGAGCTGGTGGAGTTAATGCCCTCGCCGCTCTGGCTCCAGCACCCCCCGGGCCTGCATACGCAATGGAAACCGCAGCCATGAGAGGCCGCGACCGTGAGCTCATTTAGCAGTCCTGCCACGACAGGGCTCGGTAGCCAGTGGCACCTCCGAACTCCCACGATATCCTGGACGCACGCCGATCTGACAGGTTGCGTACGGAGGAGCTGGCCGGGCATCGGCAGCCCCTGTGATGTCCTGCCTTTCCTCCTGGAGGGAAGAAGGACCAAGCTGGACTCTGCTGCCAGGCTTCGCTTGCCCCCAGCGCTCTGTTCCCAGCTGGGTGGTCGAGCGGCTGCCAGCTCCCTTCAGCTGGCCCCGTGCCGGCCGCTCGGGACCCTGGGCTGCTCAGGAGCTCAGCTTTCCTCTCCGTCATTACTTCACCGTCAGCAGCTCTGCACTTCCCAGCTGGATCCGATCTGCTCCAGCCCTGCTTTCCTGCATGAACCATGCTCTCCTTACTGGCTGGCACATGGGGGAAAGGCTGGGCAGGAGGTAGGACTCTGGGCTCTTTCTTCCCGGCCGTGGGGAGTCAGCAGGACACCGGGCATTGAGACGCTGGGGTCCACTCCAGGCCCTGCTGCCAAGTGATTTTGCAGCCATTCCCACTGAAAGTTTCTGGGAGGAAGGAGTGATGCACATGTCCAGTCCTGTGCATCTAAATCTAGCATTGGAATAACACCAAGCACTTTGAACCCACATGAGAGAAGCCAGGACCCCGTCGTGCCGCCTCTGTGGGGTCTGCCCTGCGGATCTGCCGTGCGGGTCCTCCCTGCCCCGTGCCCCGTGTGAAAACTAGCACATCGCTGATGGTCTCTTTTCTATTCTCCTTTCTCCCAGTTCCAGGGAAGCCAATCCTGTCCGTGCACCAGACTCAGGAGAACGCTCTCCTGGTGAAGTGGGAGCCCCCCTTGGAGGCAGAGGGCCAGGTGATGGGCTACCGGCTGCAGTTCGGGCGCCAGGACATCGCCCCCCTAGCGACTTTGGAGTTCGCGGCCCAGGAGGATAAGTACACGGCCGTCAACATCCACAAAGGCGCCACGTACGTGTTCAAGTTGGCCGTGAAAAGCCGGGCTGGCTTTGGGGAGGAAGCCGTGCAGGAGCTCACCATCCCAGAAGACATCCCCAAGGGTTACCCCCAAATCCTCGAGGCGAGCAACATCTCCTCCATGTCGGTCCAGTTCGGCTGGCTCCCCCCCGTGCTGGCCGAGAGGAACGGCGCCATCGTCAAGTATACCGTGGCCTACTGGGAAGCCGGTTCCCCCAGTAACCTGTTGGAAAAAGACCTGCCCCCCTCCCCAGAGAACTCATACACCCTCAACGGCCTCAAACCCAACACCGCCTACGATGTTAAAATCCGTGCTCACACCAGTAAAGGCCCCGGGCCATACAGCCCAACCGTCCAGTATCGGACGTTCCAGCTGGACCAAGGTAGGACTTACCGGTTTCTCCTCTCTCTCTCTATCTCCATGTAACCGGGGCTGGTGCCAGGAGGCAGAGAGCTGGAGAGGTCAAGCCAACCTCAGACAGGCTTTGTGAGTAAACGCAAAGCGCTTGGTTTCATGCTGAGTCCCTCAGCTCCTCTCTGCCTTCACCAGGTAAGTCCCTTTTACCGCTTTCTTCCAAGTCAAGTCCGGACGCTCTTGACTGGCACCCGGGCGCACCAGTCGCTACCACAGGTGGGAAGAGCCTTTTCTTCAGCTTTTGCGAGCCGCCTCAAAACACAAAAAGACCACGCACAAAACCAAAAAAAGACCAAAACCAAAAGCCGAACGAAACCTGGGATGGGTCTCCTCCTCGACTGAGCATGCTCAGAAAGCCAGCGCCTCATTCTCCGCAGCAGCCACTCAGACACGTAGCGCGTTTGCTAGGGACGAAGGCAGGCGCGGGCAGGGGCCCTCCCTCGCCCCTCCCCAGGCTAGGCTAGGGACGGGGGCGCTGGGCTGGGAGACGGACTCTGGTGGCACCCGAGCAGAGTGTGCAGGAGGGAGCAGACCCTCTGTTCCCGGTGCCGCTGCCCCGAGGGTGGCGCCTCCGCTGTCAGCCTCTGATATCCCCCTCTCTGTCTCTGCCCCGTCCTCCCTTCCTCTTCTCTCCCCTCCCTCCGCACTTTGTTCCAGCAGTTTTACCCAAAAACTTCAAGGTGAAGCTGGTGACGAAGACGTCTGTCCTCCTCAGCTGGGAGTTCCCCGAGAACTACAACTCTCCCGTCACCTACAAGGCAAGCGGGTCTGGTGGGGGCCCCCCTTTGGCCCTTCTCCCCGGGCCCACAGTGCTGCCAACATTACCATTCGTGGCTGGTGTTAAGTCTAAGGTGAAGCCCTGCCACGTCCCTGGGAAGCGACGCCTGCGGTTCGGGACAAACCCCGGTCCTGGAGGCATGCTGAGGCCCGAGCTGCGTCTCTGGCTTGGGACTTGGCATGTCCTGGGTGTCAGCTACGGGCTTCAGCTCTCGCATCCCATTGCGCAAAGCCAATAGAAAGTTTTTGGCAGCGATACGCAGTATAGGCTCTGGTGTTCCCCCACCCCCAGTACCTGCCCCTGAGAAGCACTGTGGTTTAGGGGGTTACAGCAACGGATGGGGCGCCAGGACATCTGGGTTACGTTCCCAGTGAAGGCAAAGGAGTAGCCAGAGCAGGGGTGGGCCGTGTGGCCTTGTGATGTTGCCTGGTCAGGTGTCCTGGTCTCCCTTCCCTGCATCTAGCACAGGGGTGGGCAAAATGCAGCCGGCAGGCCACATGCGGCCTGCCAGGGGCCCGCGGGGGCCCGAAACATTTAGCAAATGAATGGTTATCTGCCCCTGCAGCCCTCGATGGCTCGCCAAAACTCAGTAAGCGGCCCTCTGTCCGAAATAATTGCCTGCCCCTGGTCTAGCGGTAGAGCGGGGCAGTGGTGGAGAGTCAAGACCCTTGAGTTGCATTCCCGGCTCCGCTCCCGAGTTGGTGCAGCCGGGGGCGAGTTGCCGCATTTCCCAGCACTGCCGTTCTCCCGTTTCTGGAGTGGGAGCAGTGCTCCAAGGGAGGCGGGAGGTGGCATCTTTGTGCCTGCCATGCTCCCGAAGCTGCCCCGCGGACGGGCACCGTCGGCACACGCAGCACGTTTGCTGTTGCTTCTGTTCCTGTCCGGGCCGCGGAGCATCCCCTTGCCGTGCTGTGCACTGCGCTGCCTTTGTAGCGTTGTGAGGTGGTGACAGACTCCTCATGTCACAAAAAAAGAGAGCGGTTGACTTGTGTTGTGTGGCCTCACTCACGGCCTCGCGGCTGTCCCTTCCCTCCCCGATCTCAGATCCAGTACAACGAGGATAGCATCAAAGTGGAAGGCCACACCACCAAGAAGCTCATCACCAATCTGAAGCCCCGCACCTTCTACAACTTCGTCCTGACCAACCAAGGCAACAGCATGGGTGGCCTGCAGCAGAACGTGGCGGCCTGGACCGCCTCGGACATCCTGACCAAGAAGCCAGAGGTGACCCACCGGGCTGACATCGATGGCAGCGTGGTGGTAATCCTGCCAGACGTGAAGACCACAGTGCCTGTCCAGTAGGTTCCTCCAGAGCGATTTTAAGTTTGTTATTATGAATTAAGCTTCTCATTGCACTCTTATATCTTGTGCAACACCTCTTGCTACAGCGACATTGCTGCATGGCTCTGGGTACAGCACGGGCGCTGGCCGAATGAGCTTTCCTCGCCCAACCACCCACAGTGCCTCCATCCCAGTGTGAAGGAGCCACCTCCCAGGGCCAAGTGACAGGCTTCACCCTCTGTGACTCGTTTTATCCTGGGCTATTCCACTGCGGTGCCCACTTGCCCAGGACGAAGCACCAGCTCATTTACCAGAGGCCCATCCCTGGACAGGGCAATGACTTCCGGTCACTGGAAGCCAACCTGATGACCTAGATCTGGCAAAATTGGTGTCCCATTGTCCAGCCTCCTCCTCACCCCTCCGTATCTTATAGACTTCACTTTGCCAGTTCACTCCCCTTGCTGCACCCTGAACTCCTGCACTGTAAGGCCCATATAGGGACTCGTGTCTGGTTCTGCCACCGACTCACGGGGATTGGGGCAACTCACTTAATCTCCCTGTGGCCCAGTTTCCTCAACTGTGAAATGGGGATAATTACTCCTTCCTTCCCCCTACACTGCATGTATTCAAGGCAGAGGGCTCATGGATGACCCCAATGATGGCGATGGTCGTTGTGCTTCTCCAAGGGTCACACAGCATCCTTGTCTGAAAATCTCCCCCTTTAGACTGGCTACCTCTGTCCCAAAGGACAAAGTTGAGGCTTCTGCTATTCCCAGGCATCAGGGGCAGACAGCCTGCTACTCCTCCTCCTCCGGCTCAAGTTAAGGAAGCGAGGGGGAGCCAGTTTGCATTCCACTGGACACACGGCTGCTGCAATGGCCCCTGGGGGGTGAAAGGGCAGTGTCGAGGACATATTTAATCCCCCTCCCCACACACACAGCACCTTGATGCTCTAGGTCAAGAATACAGGTCTCTAGGTGTCAGCAGGCACGTGGCTTCCAGCCGCAGGAAACTGGGATGCTGCAGCGGGAGGTTGTGGGGAGGGACTGATAGAAGCGGTGCTGTGAGACCCTCGGAGAAACGTACCCACCGTCGTCGTCATTGGGGACAGTTTCCCATCGGGTGAGTGCTGACTCCTTCCATAGAGAACAGCGGCCCCAGGTGCAAGGTACCATTGCGGGTCTCAGCTCCACGGGCCACCCTGCAAGAGCACAGTGTGACTCCCGGCGGGGCTGTTCTCTCCCTCTCCTTCCGTGACTCATTCTTCTGCCTCCCTTTCGTGCTTCTCAGGGCTTACTACATTGTAGTGGTGCCTCTGAAGAAATCCCGCGGCAACCCCATGAGCAGCCCTGAGGAGATGGACCTGGAGGAGGTGAGTGCTTGGCCAGCTCTCACGCAACTACGAGCAGAGACCTGTGTGCAGCGCAGGGGGCTGTGGCGTCTCGGCCCCACGTAATGCACCGCTCGCCAACCTGGGCTGCATCAGTCCCGTGCCCAGAGGGAGAGCGAAGACAGACCAAGGCAGGCAGTGCCAGTCTGTTTGGTACTGGGCAGTTCGGTTGCCTCCGGTCCCATCAGTATTGTACACACCAAAGGCTTTCTGTCTCAGCCACCACTTCCCTTTGCTTTCCCAGCTCGTGCAGAACATCTCCAGGGTTCAGCGCCGCAGCCTGCGCCACTCCCGGCACCTGGAGGTCGCCAAGCCATACATCGCCGCCCGGTTCCGCGTGCTGCCCTCCCACTTCCTCCTGGGCGACATGAAGCATTACGACAACTTCGAAAACAAAGGCCTGGAAGCCGGGCAGAGATACGTCATCTTCATCCTAGCCGTCCTCCAGGACTCTGAGGCGGTGAGTGCTGCGCTCTCCTCCTTTCCCTGTCCCAGTGGCCCTGCTCCCCAGTCACCAACCGGGGTTGGCTCTGAGTATGTACGTACCTTGCCAGCCAGCCTGGGACCCCGGAGCCCTAGCTGTGGTGCTCAGCAACTATCCGCCTGGGACTCCTTTAAAAAAAGAAAAAAAAAGCGCCAAATTTAAATCCTCCTCCAAAATTTGTGAGCACAGGTGCGAACACGCATAGCCCATATCTGTGCACTGCAGCCGGCCAGTGCAAGCCGGGCTGTGAGCAGGGTCTGAGAGTGCCATGCTCTCACCTTCCACGAGCCTGCTTTTGGCAGTGGCTTTTCCATGCTTGGGCACCTGCTTTGCAACCAGAACTGGAGGATGCTGAAATATCAGCTAAAACACACCCCATCCATGGACCCTTTACAAATAACAACACCCAGAGAAAAGTGCCCCCACCCCCAGCGAGGGCAGCAAACTCAGTCCAAGGGGGAAACCACTGCGCTGAAGGGTCAATCGCTCTACGGGGCAGTGATTTGAGTGGCAAGGAACGGGCTTGGCTATGGCCTTCCACGAGCAATTCCTTCCAGCATTCACGTACCTTTCCCCTGCTGCAAAGCAGCAGCGTCTAATACCGCACGGCTCTAAATCCCCCTGTGGAACTGTAGCAGGAAGTGATTGAAATAATTTTTTTCAGAGGGGTTTTTGCAAATAAATATTTAGATGTCTCTTCGATATTAAGGGATTAGGCCGACACGCCTGTGAATGGATTTCCCAATCGGATTACTCCCGCTTTCGGTAATTTCTGCTTTAAGAACAAGGTACAGCAGATTCGCTCACAATGAAAGAGTGGCAGGCTTCTGTGTTCCCCTGGGCAGCAGCGTCCCGTTTGTGCCAGTGGCGTGGAGCAGAGGGGATTTGCCGCAAGCAGCCTGCTCTGGTGCAGTGCACGCAAGGATCACAGCCACGGGCCCCCGAGGTTTCAGCCTGCTTTAGTAACCCTGGGCAGGTCTCTTCCCCATCTGCTTAATGTCACAGCACCCCTCCTTCATGGCGGGGCAGGCCGGGCACATTTGGGGAATGTGCAAGGAGAGTGGGCACTGTTGTGCTGGCATGGTGGGTTTCCTGCACGGGGGATTTTTGTCATGTCAGAGCCTCTGCGGAGGCCCAAGACCAGCTCGGAGGCTGCTGCTGCTGCATCCGTAGTTCAGGGCCATCCAGCTTCTCGGGAGTCAGGGACTGCTCACCATGCAGGCCGCACACCATGGGGTTGGCCCCCCTCCACCTTGCAGCTTTATCCTGCTCCTGGCCAGGTGTGCCGCCTGGGCAGCTTCCTCCTCTGCTGTCAGATACAGCACAGCAGCTCAGCACCCTTCAAGCACACCTAGCCCCCTCCCCTGCTGCACGCACAGCAAAGCCCCCTGGTCCCCTCTCAGAGGGGGACCTCGGAGAGCCTGGCTGCCTCTGCACCCACAGCACGGAGAGGAGCGGTAGCCAGGCAGGAGCCCATCCTCGCGAGCGGGCAGGTGGACATACTGCTGTATGTAGCATATGCACGGACCTCGGCCGTCCAGCCAGATGGAAGTGGGTGCACTGGGCTCCTGGGCAAGGAAGGCAGCTCCTGCTGGGCTGAGACGCAGCAGCGATTTGCTGCACTCGGGAGCATGGCCCAGGGCTGGGCCCAGGGAAGGGAGGGGAGAAGTGCCCCACTATATTCATTAGTCGGGCCATGTCTGAGCATTAATTCTCATTTTAATCCGTTCCCTCTCCCCTGGTGCCATGTAACCCCAGCTGAGCATGGAGTAGCAGAGGAAGGCAGGGATGGGGAATCACTGGGATGTCATGAGGTGGAGGCCTTTGACAGCAGGTGTTTGAAAGCCACCTTCAAAGCTCCCCCTCTGAAACACCGGGCGCTGGCCAGCGTCCCCGCCAGGACACTGGATGAGCTGTGGGCCTGGCCCAGCCCGGCTGCCCATGGGAATGGGGTATCCCAGGGCTCCCTCTGACTTAGAGCCCACCTCTGCCCCTGGACAGCACCGGGTGCTGCAGAGGGAGATGCGAGGGCCCTGACTCCTCTTCCGGCTTTTCCCCTGGGAATCCCGAATCCCTGAGTCCCATTTTCTGACCCTTCGTGTCTTCCAGACGTTCGCAGCCAGTCCTTTCTCTGACGTGATCCAGCTGGACAACCCCGACCCGCAGCCGATCATCGACGGGGAGGAGGGGCTGATATGGGTCATCGGGCCGGTCCTGGCCGTGGTCTTCATCATCTGCATTGTCATTGCCATCCTGCTCTATAAAAAGTAAGGGAGGCTTCTCTCTCGGCTCCCTTGCCCGAGCCATGGGGGCTGAAGCCACAACCTGCACGCTCGGGCCTGGAGTTGCTAGGCTGAGGGCACCCCCTCGATCAGAGCCACAGTGCAAAGCCTGGGGCACAGGAGAGGGAAAGAGGAGGGCCAGGGGGGCGTAGGAGACCGGTCGAGTAGTTATAGACCTCCACCTGGCTCCACCTCAAGGCGAGAGTCGATAGAGCCGCGTCTCTACTGCCAGGTCAGTGGTGTAGATGGCATGAGTTTGGCTGGTCTCAGCCCATTTCCTTGGGTCCCCCATATGCTGATGGGGGGGTGGAAAGGAAGGCCCTGCCCCCACGAGTAAAGAGTTGCCAGCAGTCGAGCGGATATTCACCCTTTAGGCGCGCTGATCAGGGTGTTGCTCCTCCAGCTGAGGTCGGGGGCACACGGAGAGGACCAATGTGCCTTTGAAAGCTGCCTTCTTCCTTTCTTGCTGCCTGATGCAGCCAGTTGCCAGAACAGCTCCTAGGCACAAATCGACAAGCCCCAGCTTTGCTTATCTGCACCCCCAGCACTCGGCTCAGGATCAGGAAACCCTAGGCCTGGCTCCACCATGTGTGATGCTTGCAGGGAGCAGAGGAGTGTGAATTGTGAGGGAAGGACTGGAGAGAAAGCAAGCGGAGCAAGCTGGGGCGGGGAACTGCATCAGATCAAGGCCCACGGGGGATGCTGCTGGGTTGGAGGCTTCACCGAGCAGAGGCTGGGCACCGTGCAGCCATGCCCTGGCTCTCATCCCTGTGCCTGTCGGTCCCCCAAGGGGTGCCCTTGACTTCTGCTGGGAGGCACAGGCTTTACCCCGAGCGTGTGTGAAATGGCTAAATGCCCCGGGGGAGCTGGGGCACTCGGGAGTCCCCTCTCGGGTCCATTAGAGACAGCGCGAGATGGAGAGCCCTGCTCGTCCATGTGGGTCATAAGAGCTAGAGCTGCGTGACTGGTTCTGCTGCCTCTACAGCCCCTTTCTAACCCAAACGTTTGTCTTTTCTTCCCTCTACTTGCTGCTTCCCTGGACAGCAAGCCAGACAGGTAAGAGCGCCAAGTTTGGCATCTGCTTCGATCTCCCCTGCGCTGGGCTGGCTGTGCATCTGGGCCGAGGTCCCTGCCTGTGCGATGAGCCTCTGTCAGTTTAGTTCCTGCTCCCGGGTGTCCTGCGGGACATCGGGGATCCAGATAGCCCGAGAGCAGGGAAGGCAAAAAGCCAGAAGGAAGCGCCAGCGCCTTCCTCGCCCCGTAGCATAACGAGCCCGTCTTCGGACGGGAGGACGGTGACAGCAGACAGCTTGGGCTGTAATCAGAGCAGAGTGCGGGCTGTCTCCGCACAGACTTTCTCAGCCTCTAGCATATTGGAAGCTGGATCTGGCCAGCCAAGCTGTCCTCATCCCAGTGTGGAAGCGATGCCTGCTCCCTCCGCCAGGCCCTCCGCAGAGTTTGTTTACAGCTCAGACTCCTCTCCAACTGTTTCCGAGGCTGGGAGAGTTTTCACCAGAAGCAACCGGCAGGTTCAGCCAGCGAACCATGAACGGCAGCAAAAAACGACGCTCCTTCCAAGCTGCAAAGCACGGGCGTCCTCCAACGGCGCTCCATGCAAAGCCGGCGGAGCCCCTGGCAGGACCTCTCACTAGAAATGACATTCAGAAACAGCGCAAAATGGCATGAAATGCTCCACGCTGTGTGTGGGTAAGGCAGATTATGGGGGGCACCTGCCCGATCCAGACTGAGAAGGAAGGTGTCCGTGAGGAGGTCCTGCTGGAAGTTAGGTTAGGTTATGACATGCCTGAGAGCCTCTGTTTGCAGCAAATGCTGCCAGACAGAGAGACAGACAACCAGCTCTTGGAGCTGTGTGATAGAAGAGTCCGTGCCTTGCAAACGCTGCCTGTGGCTCCAGTCCCTTGGGCTTAAAATGCGTGGGCCCAAACTGCATGCAGAGTGACCATGACTTCACCCGGGGCACGTCCCGCCGGGAAGCTGCGGTGCAGTGATCTGCAGCGCAGTTTTACCCAGCACTAGCTACTCAGGACCGATTCCCAGGTAGATGCGCCTAGGGGCGGATCAGTGCAAGGTGCATTTCAAAGTCCTGCTCGGAGAGCGCACGTGGGCGCTGTGTGATCCAAGCCCTACTTGACTGCATGCAGGCGTCCCTGTGAAGACAAGCCTTTAAGCCATGATTTTAAACTCACGTAGGAAAACCAGTGCAAAAAGCTACGTGACTATTCTTATTCTGGTCTAAGACTTAAGCCCTAAAGCTGTCATTTCAAACCAGAGTATTTAAACCCATGCAAAAGGCTGTGTGAATGGGTCTAAGACCTCCCTATTTCAGTTTGGTTTAACCCAACTTCTAATCAAGCCTGGTTACATCCGGACTCGGTGTGCCCATACAGCTTTTGGCCAAGGGGTTTCAAGTTGCACTTTTTAGGTACAGCAAGGCAGCTTCTTTGTGTGCCTGAGCTCTTAGTATGTCCATGCTGGCTGGGGCAACACCCATTTCGTGCAAGTGGTACAATTGTGCGTGTAGACAAGGCTCCCGCATGCCTGGTGGAGCGCAAGACCTGGCCGCTATAACTCACTGTGTACTTGCACTCCAAGAGGCTGGACGGGAGCCGAGCAGGAAGTGTGGCTAACGAGGGCTTTGGGATACAGCCTGCTTATCATACTGAGCCTTGTCAGACCCGTCTGCATGAGGGGCAGCTTTCAGGAGGTCGCTCTTGGCTTGAAGGGCTAGCACGGTGGGTGCTGCACGCTCACTGACTTCAGCATTGGTGCCCATTGCACGACTGTCCCTGACACCCGTTATCAGACCTGTTTTGTCACCCCAAGCTCCCTCCGTTCAAGAGTCGGCTGCACCGAACGCAGACTCCCTTGAGAGCTGCCCCCCAACCACAGGTCTGAGCGTGGCCGGGTGGCTGGAGTCTGTCGTAAGGGTGGACGGGCCCCATGCTAAGAGGCTTCTGGCTTTGTTGGGTTTGTTTTTTTAAAGCAAACGGAAGGATTCGGAGCCACGGACGAAATGCCTCTTGAACAACGCTGAGATCACCCCTCACCACCCCAAGGACCCCGTGGAGATGAGACGCATCAACTTCCAGACGCCAGGTAACCGGCTGCACACCGGCCTCCCACGCTCGGACACCTGGAGCTGCCCTTGTTGCGATCCCTCCCTGCCTGCGTACCTACCGGCTGTTGCAGTACTGCCTCTGCTGGGAACCGGCACTGGCCTAGGCCGTTGCGGAGGAGTCTCTCGGGCCTCATCTGTGCTAAGTTGTGAGCGCTGCAAGAAATGCCAGCTTGGCGCCCCGCTCAGGGTCAACGTGCTGCATCCTTACCCAGCAGCCATGCTGTACAGGATGGTGGCGATGGCTAGAACAAGGCCTTTCGCTGAGGTCTGGCGCGGTCCAGGTTAGACAGGCACCTGCAGACACCTTCCCTAACCCCACGCCCCAACGCAGTGCCTCTGAGAGGCCCAGGGACCGGCACAGCAGGATTCACACAATGTCCTGGTCCACGGTGGCGCTGTTGGAAATGGCGCTTCTCTATGAACAGAAGCAGAACTGGGGCAGCCAGCTGTTCCCTGCAAGCTGTGCCGCCTCACTTGGTGTAGATCCCACTGCGGGCATGCCCTGGTCTCCTTCCCCCCAGTCATACACTTAACACCTGCCAGAGAAGCACCTTGCACTCTCCTTCTACCCCCATGCGGTCCTGTAGACATGCATGTGTAGCTGCCTGCATGGCACCTCTGCAAGCCTGCCCTGACAGGTGCCTGGCAAGGACACATCCTCACCCAGAGACACCCCCAGCACCTCTGCACGCTGCCCAGCATCTGGGCGCTTCACGCTGGAGGAGGTGGAAAGGAATTTGTTGTGCTTTTGGGGCTGGTTGTCCTTTTTGGCCATGCTGTGCTTGTTAGTACTGTTTCTGCAGCGCCCCCTCCATCTCCTGCCTGTCTCTGTCGTTAGGGCTGCCTGAGCTTTCTCTCCAGGAAGTTGGTAGGTCCCCAGGGGCTGGGAGTTGCGGACAGGGGCCACGGGCAGCCCTCCTGGCCACGTACTCCCAGCAGCTCAGACTCTGCCTGAATAAAGGCTGAATCTCACACTGGGAAGCGGAGGCAAGAGGCGTATCCCAGCCCGAGGGGTCTGAGCAGTCTTTGTGCCCCCCACTGTGGGGTCAGTGGAGTGACTCTGGGGGTGCCACCCTGGTACCACCCTGCCCTTTTGATGGTGCAGGGATCCAGGCCGAGTCCTCCTCCAGCTGCAGATGGAGCCCAGGGACAGAGCGAAGCGAGCGCAGGGGCCGATGGCCCTGCCTGCCAGGTTGCCCGTTGTCTGAGCAGCTTGCTCGGGGGGGTCCCGTTGCAACTCTCCAGCAAGTTCATTTTTGTCGAAGGAGCCATCGCCAGGCGCCTGCTGGTGAAACTGGCTTTGGGGGCCAGGCTCAGGTTGGGCTGATCGAAAGAAAAGCCGTGGTTGTGCTGGAGGGATGGGTCCGTCCCTAGGGTAGCGTGGTGGGAACCAGCTCAGCTGCCCCATGGAAGAGAGGCATTGGGGGCATCGAGCCTCAGATGGCAGCCTCCCCCCCCACCCCCCATTTTGGCACCTGAGTGTGGATCCAAGTCCCCCAAAGCCCATCTGAAAACTGAGCGAATGCACTAGAAGTAGTCGTGCCTGGAGTTAGTTGCATCTCGGTCTGAGCCAGCCAGCGGGGGTGAGCTCACTAGGGTTGAGGGTGATAGCCGAGGGGCTAGTTTCGACCCTTGCGGGGCAGCAGGTGTCGCAGAAGAGCATGTCCCATCTCTATACATCTTGTAGGTCACTGAGCGTTTCCCATTAGGCGCTGCTGGGTTGGTCCTGCCAGGCCACTCGCTGTCTTGTCTGGTCTGCTTTAAAACATGTAGAGCCACGATGCTTCCAGCCCTTCCCCTGGGGAGACCCTTACACGGCCAAAGAGAGCCCCGGGGTCGCGAGCTTATCCTGGTCCTCCGCTGATCATCTGGGCAGGCTTCTCAAGGGAGTCAGGCACCCGGCTCCTACCAGATTTCAGTGGGGGGGTGTGTGCTGATGGAGGGAGAGCTGCCCTCCAGGCACCCTGCCGCAGCTTGAAATGCAGCAAAAGCCTCCAGGGACCAGTAAGTCTCCAGCGGTCTCCGGGAGCCGGGCAGCAGGGGTGTAAGCGGGGGGCTGGGGGGGAAGCAGCAGCTGCCCGTGGCCCTGCCCCTGCCTGATCAGCACAAAAAATAACTTTTCATTTCCTCTTAAATTTATGTTGGTTTTTGGCTTTTGGTTTTTTTTTAGTTTTATTAGCATGAACTTTTGGAAAAGAGTGTATTTTTATTTCTTTATTTTTTTACTGTTTTCTGCAGATTCTGGTCTGAGCAGCCCTCTCAGTGACCCTGAGTTTGACTTTGAAAGTTAGTTCCTGTGTGTGTTTTTGTTCCCGTTGGTTTCATTTTTTTTCCATTGTTGGTTTGGGGTTTGTTTGTTTTTTTTCCTTTCTTTCTTTTTTCCTTTTTCATCATTTGTTTTTTTTCTTTCTGTTTTGAGTTTGGTTTGTTTCTCCTGTTTCTGCCGATCTCTCTGTGTGTCCCCGTGGCTCACGCCATCTCATTCCTCTTCTGTGCCATCTGTTTGTCTGAGTCGCACTTCCAGTTTTACAGTACCCGACACGAGCCTTTTGCACAGCGACAAGAGCTGTGCTAGCAGCCCCGTAGGACCCAGCTCCCGGCAGGTGGCTCGGAGACGGCACCCGTCCTCCTGCCTCTCGCCCTCGGGCATTTCGAGGTCCCGTCCCTTTGCTGAAAGTGTTTCTCGTCCAAGGTTTAGAGCAGTCGTGAGAAGCTTGGCTAAGTGTGCATCACGCTTATTCGTGGGGAGAAATCAGATCTCTGTACACCAGCGTGTTTGTGTGTGTTCGTGTGCGTGTCGCTCTGTGACATGGGAGGCTAGAAGGCCGCAGCCAAGGACGCCGATTCCCCCTGCCCTGCTTTTGGGTCAGCCCAGACAAG